TTCCTCTTTTTCCTTTTTTTTACTTTATTTTCTTTTACCCATTTTCTTGTCGGGGTCCTATTGCAAATTTTAAAACGCATGAATAGTCAGTTAGATCCCCCGAGGGCTGTGTGTATGCGAGTGTGCGAGTGTGTGTGGTGTGGGTCGGTATGCGGCACACGAGTTTATCTACAAGATACAAGCTGGGTGGCTGGTTACAGAGAATGGGCCGTGGGTCATAGCGGATGGCCAGGCATATCCGCTGGCAGATGTTTTTACACACAGCGACCAGTTACACTAAACATACCCTGCCAGCGGAGAGCTATTATTTGCTTAGCAAGTCTGTTAACTCCAAGGTTTAAGATAACTTTGAATAACTATTATAGTATTAAAATGCTATAATACCAAATGGTAAAGGCGAGTTCGATTCCTTAACCTCGTGACGATCAATCGAGTGTTAAGAATGCATTTGACAGAATTCTAATTGAGCTCAATCGGGAGAAACCCTTACGTAGTATGAACTTGTTAAATTGCAAAAACCCAAATTGATCTCAATTCATAGAAAGGGTATCTAACAGTCGGCATGTGCTTAGTAATCCATTGCAGTGCCCATTAACTTTGGCGTTATTCAGAAACAAAACAACATGAATAAGAACAAGAACAACAACAAGAACGTGAATAAGCAAGTGTTGCGGAAATGATTTGGCGTTGCCTGCCACGAGAGAAGGGTCCAGGTCCCTAGCTTCAGAGCCCAAACTCAGGATTCGAGTCGGCGTTATGTTGCCTCGGTTTCGGCATGGGCTGCTGCCACAACGTTTTGGTTGCATGATTGAAAAGTGTTTTGCTATAAATTCAACTTTTCTATTATCTTTATCTTATGAGCAACACGCGCCGCGACGGGCGGGTGTCGTATGGGCGGCGGGCGTGGCAAAAGTAGCTGCTGCTGCTGCTGCAACGTCCATTACAAAGATTCGTGGGCTAACGGCAGCAGGAGACGGCGTTGCATGTGCAGGGCGTTGCCTTCAATTGGAACCTGAAGTTGGAGCTGGGCTCGAGTTGGAGTTGGAGCCGAAGCTGGAGCTAGAGCTGGAGTTGAATGTGCTGCCAGTCGCTTTCATAATTGTTTCCTCTTGCTGCTGTGGCAGGAAACACAGTGCCACTCTGATGCAGGCAGCGGCGGATGGTGCAAGCTCAAAGCACTGTTGAGGGTGCCACAATCTTTGAAGATGATGAACGCCAACACTGCAAGAAAACTGGGCTATGCACCGTGTCATGTATAGATTATATACTCTAGTGGAAGCATTTCTAATTGATAATAACAAAACTCAATTACATCATAGAATGCACATTGTATTAGCAAACAGTACCCGGCGTTGCCAGGCTTTGTCTGTCGGTCTGCCTCTGTTTCCGCTCGCCACTTCTCATTTTATTCCTGCCGACACCTTGAACCCCATTCCTACAAAGAACTGAGCTCTTAGCATATAGCTAAGTATATTTAAATGGATTTTCGTATAAATCTTTAAAAAATTTCAATCAATCGACTTTCACCCATTTTCCGACCGTCTACGTGGATTTTACAAAGCTGTTTAACACGCTCTCAATGATTGCTCTTCGAAAATGCGTTTGATCAGTTGAAAAACAAAAGTTGTATACTATATGTATGGTTTTAGATAGCTAACATAACATATTTACAGATTAAAGTGTGACCGTATTGGATAAGTGAATTGAATGGAGCTTGGCATTTTTGAGCTATTGCAATGTTTCATCGCAGCTGAGACTTAGGGCTGGCAATTTTTTGCAGTGCATGCAACGCACAGGAGCATCTACTTCTTGACTACTTCAGCTACTTTTTTGCACTCGTCCGTCCTCATTCCGGATTTCCATCCGCTCCCTCAGCATCAGCAGCCTCGCCAGCGCCGTCGTTCGTCATTATCGAGCGACTGAGCAGGCGAGTGAAATTTTGCTGTCATTACTTTTTATGACCCAACAAGATGATGCAGTTGCCGCATGTGGCAGCAGCAGCCAGTGGGAGGCTGTGACACAGAAGGAGAGAGAGGGAGAGGGTGCGACTCCCTGGCAGTTAAAATATAATTTCAGGCAAAATCATGAGGCAGCCGCTGAGAGAGGCTGTTAAAGTGAAACATCAAAGTGAATGGCACTCCGTCAGCCTGAGAGGCAGCAGCGCCAAGGAACCTCTGAGCCCAAGTGACTGACAATCTCACCCCCCCTCTAACGCTCATCTCCCTCAAAGCCCTTTTCACTCTTTTCCACCCCCATGACTGGAAGCTGAAACCACAAGCTCAGCTGGCGTTGTGGCAGTTGTTGAAAATTAAAAACGCATTTTGCCTTCTTCCTGCCTTTATTTAACTTTCTTTTATTTTTGTTTATTTTTTTATTTTTTTTGTGACAACTCACTTGGCTACATGTGTAACCAAGTCCCTTCCCCTACCCTTGCCCCACTCCCCTGGCAGTTTGTCAGTCCTTTTATTGCCTAATTGATTTTGCAACCAGGCTTTCAGAATGCCTCCAACATGGTGGCCCTCCGCGCAACTCGTTCACAGTAGTTAGTTAATTAACTCGCCGTCAAATTAAAATTTATAAAAACCATTTTTTTTCAGTTACATTTTGCGACCATTTCTTTTATGTTATGTACCCTAACATACAGTCCAATAAGTATTGAAGGAGATTAGTCCAACGCCTCGAATAATTATTTTGGATGTCCTTGAAGAGAGTATTATAATTTTACTATGAAATGTGTAAGGCATAGAAGGAGTCCGACCTCATAAAGTATATATATATTCCAGATCAGCAACAACAGCCTAGTCGATCTGGCCATGTCAGTCTTTCTGTTTGTCTGTTTCTATGTCTAGATCCGTCATTCTATTGCGGGCAGTACATATATATGTCGGAACCAGCCGAATCGGATCACTTAACATATAGCTGCATAGGAACAATCGGTCGAAAGTTAAGTACTTGTATGGAAAACTTTTTTATTTATTAAGATATCTTGAGCAAACCTTGCAATTATCAATTGAACTATTCTGTTTATATGCGAGTCGAAATCTTATCCTGGAAAAATACTCAGTTTTCTTCTCTATTTATAATCTCGGCGTGAAATGCTTACCTTCTGATTTAGATATATTTTATTTACGTTTTGATTTTGTGTCACGTAAATAGCCTTCGAAGAACCATTCCAAATATTTGCCTTGAACAGGGTATCCAGAATTAGCCGCCGCACGCAATGGGCCAACACAGGGGTTTGGGGCGTGGCAAGGGCTTATATTATGCTAGTTTTTTAATTAAAGCACACAGCGGCAAAGTTTGAACAATTTCGTGTCCAAAAAGTTGCCACTAGTTGTAATACATCCCCCTCCCCCCCTCCACAACCCGCTCCCTTTCTGTCACGGTCAACATGTGTGGCATGTGGCAGGAAAAAAATATAATAGCACACCGAAATCCATTTATAATTATTTTTACATTTATGACACGCGCAAAAGTTCATTTGTTAAAACAAACACAAAAATAATAAATTAATTTGCCACTTGACGTGCTCACTTTTTACACTGTCCAAAATAAAATACAAACGTGTTATAGTTTTTTTTTTTTTGGCTTTGTCAGACATGCTGCGATGTTTTACATTTTTACAGTCTAGATAAATGTGTAAAATTAAATCTATCTTTGTCAGAATGAATCTGAATAAATATAAATAAATATCTATTGAACGAACAATCAGATTTCACATGGACACATGGACCCTCCCAGGCATACCGAAATTATAATTATATAAAATTTAACTATAGGATTTCTGGCCATTTTTTAGGGCATATATATTTCTCAACAGTTTATTTATGCCCTGAACCTCATACTATTTAGTGGAAATGGAACTATTCTTTTAAGCAGCCGATCAGCCTCTTTTTCCATAACCCCATTTCAAATTTAATTTAAGATGTGATACTATGCGTATGCAGCGTACGATACTTGATATATATATACACACATAATATTCTAGAATTAACAGACTATTTACCCAATTTGCGCAAAAAACAGGATATCGATATCGATTTTTATCGATTGCTTGGAAACGGGGCAAGTTATTGGATATCGGAATCAAATTCCACCTGCGCAGGCACTAGAAGGGCCTACAGCTAAAATTTCAAGTCTCTAGCTCTTACAGGTTCTGATATCATTGCTTTCATACATTTCGGACGGACGGACATGGCTAGATCGATTCGGCTCTTGATGCCGATCAAGCATATATATACTTTATGGGGTCGGAGATGCTTCCTTCTGCCTGTTACATACATTTGCACAAAAACATTATACCCCTTTTCAATGGGTTCAAGGTATAATAATATTAATATCGAGGGATATACTAGGGAACTAGTTTTCATAGAAGCAGACAGACGGACAGATTGGGATGTGGCTAAACCAACTTCTTCTGCGTCTTTCATATTAGCTCTAATATTATTTATTTCCATTTTAGTTAATTATCATCTTTATAACCTGAAAAAGGGTATATCGATTTTGCGCAATAATGTGTAACCCGCAGTATCTACGATCACAAATTAAGATATATATATTCTTGACCAAGGCGACGAGCGGATTCGATGTCCGTGACACTTCCCACTAGAGGGCCCTAATTTGTTTATTTTGTACATACGAATTTTTAAAATTAATAATAATGTTCCGTTTTGGAATTTCGACTCGGTTAGCAACTATTTTTTAGTCTCATAAAATAGCTGATAACGAGAAGCAGCCAAAGCAAATGAACTTTCCTATTTGCAATCTATCAACAGTTCAGTGAAGGTCCCTTAAGGCCTGATCCATGCCTTCTGTTTATTTATATTGACTTCCTGACCTACTGATAATCGCCTAAATTGCTCAAATATTGGGCACATGAGCTTCCGAATAATTGCCGTAGTTCACTCTATTTACGTTCGTTCTGGTGTTGAGTGCGGTTGAGATTTGCATTTCAGTTCCAAAATCAAAGTGCTATCAAAACGAAATGTCTTATGTTATACATATTATATTTATAAGCCTAATACTGATCATAGCTGAAGCAGTGTTTAACGAAAATTAGGTAAAAGAAAAATTACTTATCAATGTTTGTGTGCACTGCAAAAAAGATTTCAGACTCCTTTTTATCAGTCTTGTGTGGCAACCAGAATAGCAGAGAAGGAATGTGGAGAGCATACCTATAAGGCTGTGAGACCTTTGTTAAAGTATATTCATCAGATGAAGGCAAAGACAGAGAAATCAAGCAACTGCAGAAGCAACTTAACCAAAATAATAAACAGGTCATTGAGGAGCTTAGAGCTCAGAATCAATTCTACAAGCAGAGTATCAAAGAGCTAACTAACGAAGTTTTGTCAATAAAAGAGGAAATTGGTAAACTTATTTCCAATCCCTTAAGAATCCCGGACTATGAAGTGCAACTGGAGAATCAAAAGAAGTCAATTGATCAACAGGCCCAACAAATATCAGAACTCAAAGACAAAATCAACATTTGTGAAAAGAAACTTAAAAGCTGTGAAGAGAAGCCCGTTCACAGTGACTGCAACGACTTTGCTGATGCTCCGGGTATTCATACGATTACTCCAGATCAAGAAGGTCCTTTCGATGTTCTCTGTGATAGTGCGACAGCAAGTCCTGGCTGGACAGCAAGGAGGATTTTTATAGGAATTGGAGCACATATCGTGAAGGCTTTGGTTCCCTTCATGGTGATTTTTTCTTAGGTCTTGAAAAGATTCATCGATTGACGCGCGCCCAGCCTCATGAGCTCTACGTGCATATGGAAGGATTTGATTTAGACTTGATCAGCTTGGGTAAATCTGAGGGCAGTGCAACAGCTGATCGCTTGCAATACCACAAACATCAGAAATTCACCACATTCGATCGTGACAATGACAATTATACTTATCTCTGGCAACTGCGCAAGCGAAAACAAATTTTGTGGTGGCTGGTGGTTCCGTTCACAGCTATTGATCGGCACAGCTTTGTCAAAACAATTTAAATGCAATTAATTTTGATAGTGTTTTCTTTCTTTTTTTTTAGTAATTTAAATGGCAAATACTATGATCATAAGGTGGATAAAGCTGATGCCATATTTTGGGAATATTTCTTCACCTTGAAGACAGTCAAAATGCTTATACGCCCCAAAATCAATGGAAAATAATATATAAAAACAAAAATGTAAAGCAATTTATTGCAAAAAAGCTAAAATTGTTTTACAATTTATATATAAACAGATTCATATGCTGTTATCCCAACAAAAATTCACAATTGACCGGTATAAAAAACAAACAAATTCAAATTTATTTTTTATTTATTATTAATGGTCGACAAAGCGAGTATCTTCTTCATTATTCAATGGATTATATAATAGATAATAGAATTATATGCTAAAAAAAATATAATTTTCTAAATAGCATCACCGACCGATGGAGGTGCTTTATTTGCCATTCCGACCAGCTGTGCGCCTTTTCACAGCTAATTTCGTCAGTGGTGCTATTAGAGCCTACATCTAAGCAGAAGCTTGTAAGTAGGAACAAAGTGTTCTTGGGTAAAATTAAAAATAATCTTAATTTGCTATATTAATTTACTAAGGTAAGCTAAATATAAAGAGTGTTCAGAAGATAGGAAAGGTAGAGGAAAATTCACAGCCTGTCCTGCAAGCTATGGCCCTGCTCATAGCTGGGAATGCTCAGTGACTTTCCGAAGGTATCCTGAAATGAAATCGAATTCGATATTAAACAAAATTTTATTTGATTGTATATAAAGGTGGATACAAAAAAATCTATGGGGGCCTTGAAGTTGCCTCTCAGTAGGCTGAACACGACCGAGAAAAATCAACCAATCAAGAAATCCGCTTCTATTTAAAAATAAGTTATAAGTGCATCGAATAAAGAAACAAGTGTTGCAATCAATGCTTTCGCACATGTTAGTCTAGCCGTATTTTCGTTTATGAATACTTTGATCAACGTATAAAATAAATTCTCACAAAGATCGTTAATATAAAGTTCGAGGGCCAATCGAATGGTAAGCAACCTTCATCACATAAGGCAAATACAGTGATCACCAATCAGTCAGTCAATCAGTCAATAAGTCATTCAGTCAGTCTAGACAAACAATTTTATATATAGGGGTATATGGTGTCGGAGTTGTCTTCTTCAACGCGACAATGTTTGCCTTGAATTGAGAAGTTGCCATAGTTTAAAATATCACTATCCCAACAAATGTGAAGAATTTTCGATTCCTGTGGTTATTCCTTTGCTTTATCCAAGAAACTCAGCTTGTATTGATGATCCTCCAATTGCTATCAAGTGTTTCCATATGTATTTAGAGCTCATGGGGTTGAGCGATGAATCGTCTTCAAACCCACAAAGAAGTCACCTGATCCGGTATGTAGTCCAATTCTTATTGAAATACTCCTCCCCAATCGCAGATTATGGAATCAAAATACGAAACTAGACTGAAATATGGAAATCAATCGAAAACTTGGGCCCTGAAAACAAATGAGCTCAAGCACATTGAATGCTTTCTCATCATCAGCTCGACTTCGGCTCAATATTTCAGAAGGGTTCTTACATAATATTAACTGGCTTTTAATATATTTGATATATGCCAAATCCAGACATTAAATAGCCATGACTCGTATATTGATGCAGATATTATAATAATATTACAATAAACTAAACTTTGTATGTGTTGAAATTTGCAGCTTAAATAAAATTTCTCCAACTCAGTTTTAGAATTTTATAGCATTCCCGTGCGTGTGTATGTTCAGTGCATCCCAGGCAAAAAACAAACCAAAAGTGACAGTGACACTAACTAAGCCCGCCCCAGGGCTTAACAAACAAATCGCGCCTGCAGAGCGCGAAAAAAAAACAATTGTGCTGCCTCTGGCAGCTAAACTATATATATATATAAACATATATAAACATTTAAATTTTTTTTTTACACAAAAGTGCAACCGCGTGCGAGCGTAAGAGAGCAAGCTTTTGCTAAGCTCAAACTGCGCTCAGCTGATCGCCTTAACTCAGCTGTAGTGTGTGTGAGTGCGTGTGAGTGAGCAGAGCTTTCGCGAGAGAGCTTTTGCCTAGACTCACTAACACAAGTAAAGCACTAGCCAATAGGAGAACAATCAGTGCTGGCAAGTCAGTCACTGACCGTGACAGTGCTGACACTTTCCAGTCACCGTTTTCGCTCCCCGTTCACCAAAGTCACTTTTCACAAAAATACTGGAGATTTTTGTAAATAAGTGCAGCTAGTAAATTTTGGTCAACATCTCACCTAATGGCGTCCAACAAGCCGAATCCACTCATCCCCGACTATCCTGCGTCACCTATATACAACCCGTCGGATAATGTGCTACCGCCATACATCTCGCTGTGCGGGGGTACTACGCTACTCACCACGTCGTGCATCACCACAACTGCCTGCTCCCTAGGAACGACTACGGTAACGTCGTCCCTCGCACATGGCATCAGCTCCCAAGGCCCCGCAATCCCGTCCATTCCTGGCGCGAATCCTGCTACAAGCCCGGATCTCCACGCGTTTTTGAATAATTACCCGCCCAAGACTTCACGTACTTGGCAAGGTCAATGGTTTAAGGCCACAAAAAGAGAAGGTGGCAATCTCTCCCCCCGTATCGCCCGTAAGAAGGCGAGCACCACCGAAACCAAGAAAGCCAGCCAAAACCGGTTTGCGGCCCTCTGTGACGAAGAGGAAAGCGACATGGACACGGAAGTAGAACTAGCCACCAACAAGGAAGCTTGCGCCGACGAGGATGTAGATGATAGGCCATCCACCTCGCACGCAGCTCGCGCAAGGGCCAGCAGGCAACAAACGGCAAATAAAAAGCTTGCCGCACACCCGCAACCCACCCAGACGGCGCCTCCCAATGAGCGGCCTGCCTCTAAGGTGCCGAGAATAACTGTGCCAAACGTCCTCAGTTTCACCAAGTTCTGCAAGGAACTAGACAGCGTCCTAGGCGCGGACACTTACAACCGTCAGATCGCTTAATTCTGGCGACTGCATCGTCCAATGCCGAAACTCAGACGAATACCGAACGCTGGCAAGGCACCTTCGCGAGAACGGCTGCCTGTTTCACCACCACCAGCTTGCAGAAGACCGGCCGTACCGCATAGTTCTACGAAATATCCACCACGAGGTCGCATCCGAAGATATTTCAGCGCAATTGGCAGAAAAGGGGCACCACGTTGTCCGCATATATACCCCGCGTAGCAGAGTCAATAACGAACCTCTAAATATGAGATTTGTTGACCTGAGGAAAGCGGAGAACAATAACCTTGTCAAATCAATAACAGTACTATGCAGGCACAAAGTTTCGTGGGAGAAGCCTCGCAAGACGTCGGGCCCTGTACAATGCAACAGATGCCAAGAGTACGGGCACACAAAATCTTACTGCTCGAGACACTATGTGTGCAAGGAGTGTGGGGACAACCATCCAAGCAACGAGTGCACACTTGGCAAGGACGAGAATCGGTGTTGTCACCACTGTGGAGAAGCACACGCAGCAAACTTCAAAGGCTGCAAGAAGTACCTGCAATATGCTTTCCAGCAGAAAAACCAGCACAAGGCAAATGGCAGAGATGCAAGCCGCTCCAGAGATCCCCGCCCCAAAACAGCCGCTCCTGCCTGCAGCTTCGTGCCTGGCCAACAATCCTTTGCCAGCGTCCTCCGCGGTACCCAGCCCGCAGAGCGCAGTGCCCGCTCATCGTCTCGCAGAAGGAACACTGGCAGTACTCCCAGCCAATCGCAACCTGTTGCCGACAACTGCCCCAACTCAGCCCTTGAGCTCATGATGAAGCAAATGTTCGCCAGATTCGACCAACTGATGTCTCTCATACAGACTCTTTTACAAGCGCTAATGCACACTAGCGCCAAAAATAACAGTGCCTAAAATGAGCTCCCTCAGGATAGCACTATGGAACGCCAACGGAGTCTTTTCGAAGGCGAATGAGATCACAGCCTTCATCGAACTCCACCACATCGATGTGTTTCTGCTCACGGAGACTCACTTCTGCTCTCGAATCACCCTCAGAGTGCCAGGCTACACTCTCCACACCGCCAACCACCCAGATAACAGCCAACATGGAGGAGCAGCAATATTGATCAGGTCGTCCTTGTCGCACCACTCACTTGAGTCATCCTGCCACTGGCATATGCAAGCTGCTGCTATCCGACTCGGATCCAGCAGAGGCGACTTCAATCTCGCCTCTGTATACTGCCCTCCGGCCTTGAGAGTGACTGAGGCACACTTTCGAGCCCTTTTCGACCAGCTTGGCCCCAAATTCCTGGCAGGAGGAGACTGGAACGCCAAACATCGCTGGTGGGGAAACTACCGCATGTGCCCCCGAGGGAGAACGCTCTTCTCTGCCATTGAGAATGAAGGCATCGAAGTCATAGCCACTGGAGAGGCAACGTGCTACCCATATAGGGCTACTGCAACACCAAGTGCACTTGACTTCGGGCTCTACAAGGGATTCAGACAGGAACAGCTGCGAATACGAAGCCTCCTTGACCTGACGTCGGATCACCTCCCATTACTGATTGAGCTCGAGGAGACTCCCAAGTGGGAAGTTGGAATCCGCAAAATGCTCCCGCCGCGCTCTAACTTGGGAGTATACCGGGCCTGCCTCGAGGACACATTAGAGCTCAACGTCACCATAAATACGGCAAGTGAACTGGAGAGCTACGTTGACCACCTCACAGCGAAAATTACGGAAGCTGCTAGACGTGCAGCCCCGCAAACCCTGCCTCACTCTCGTACCTTCAGAAGGTCCCTACTAAGCCCTGAAGCCAGGAGTCTCCTTGCCGACAAAAGACGTCTAAGGAGGCTGTACATCCGCAACGGAGACCTCTCTACCAAGGCAGAAATGGTAAGCGCGTCCAACCGGCTCAGACGACTGCTGGCTAGGACTCGAACGGAAAATCTAGACAGCTTCCTCGAAACAACTGGGCATGACGGCAACAGCACCTTTTCAGTGTGGAAGCTCACCAGAAGCATTAAGAGGCAACCAGTTTTTACCTCCCCGATCACGGACCACTCTGGCCTCTGGCTCCGATCGGACGAGGAAAAGGCCAACGCGTTTGCTGACTACTTGGAGACAACCTTCAAGCCATTCGACTTCGCAGACGTTGCACAGCGCCGTAAAGTAGCCGAGTCACTGGACGCTCCACTGCAGATGGCTCTCCCGATAAGAAGCATCTCCCCCGCGGAAATCGGGACACAGCTGAAAATGCTTGAGCTAAAGAAGACCCCAGGATGCGACGAAATCGACAACAGAG